CAGGCTCCGCGCCCTCGGGAGGGCCCTCCCGGCTCAGCAGCAGCAGCTCGTCTGAGTCCGGGAGCAGCAGCTCCAGCGGATCCAGCTCCGACAGCAGCGACTCGGAATAAACTCTGGGCTCTCACGGGACGGAACAAAACCAGTGGACGTCGCCCACGCCGAAACTCTGCAGTGTTCCCTTCTATGGTTAATATACCATTTTCGTTCCATGGTGTGCAGGTTCTCTTTTTAATTCAGTGTTATGGTATCTTCCAGTTTTGGCTTTAATAGGTCAAAGATCTTTCCGTGTGTGTCCATTAGACTTTATGAGAAGCTGTGAATCTGCATAACGCCTTTCCTTCGTAACTGAATTCAGTCTCTTGGAGATGACAACTTCAAACGCTAACCTGATGACCGTAGAAAAACACGTAAGGTGTGATCCGGAGGTTCATGCAAAATCCCTTTTCTTAACGCCCGACCCGGTCTGTAGCTCCAGCGAGAATTTCTCCAAAGGAGATGTCTCGGAAATGGTACCGTATGTGAAAGCTGCCAGCTTTGCGAACAGGCGTTTGTCTTTGTCTTTGGGGGCCTGGGCTCTGACCCGCACGTCCGAGGGGTCACCTCTTTCTGCAGGGGCCGAGGACAGCCATGCCTGCCCCTGCCGTGAGGGCCAGGGCTGGGCCCGAGCGGGGAGGGGTTATCGTCACTGCAGCCGGAGCTCCCGCGGGTGGCGGACCGGCGAGGGTGGGCGTGGAAGGGAGCCGAGTTTTTCTGATCTCTGTGACGTTGGGAGCTCCCGGGAGGGAACACGGTGGCTGCGTGTGCAACGCGCGGGTTCCCAAACACTGAAACTTTTACCTCAACTTAAAAAAAAAAAAAAAAGAAAAAAAAAAGAAGAAAAGATTAAAAAAAAAAAAATACAGGAGGAGACTTTTTTGTAAGGTTCAGCAGTTTTCTACAAAAGGCCAGCCCCCACGTGTGTCCCCAGCCCAGCCGCTGCCACGCACTCCGGAACCATTGTCCCAGTTTCATGTATATATGAATACTTTATTTATTAAGATCATTGGTGATTTTTTTTTAAAAAAAAAAAGGAAAGAAAAACAAAACTGTAAAAGAAACACATTAAAAAATAAAAAGTGGCAGAGACGCAGGCCTTTTAAATGGTTTGAAGGGGAGCCCCAGACCCTGCTGGCCAGCGGGCCTCTCACCTCCAGGTGCTACAGCCTGCTGTCCCCGTGCCGGTGCTCAGTCGCGTCTGTGTGTGCTTGCTCTCCTCTCGGGGCTGCTGGGGGTTTTGTTCTTGTTCTTTTCCGTGTGTGTATGACATTTGGAGACTTACAGGTGTAGACAACTTCCAGCTGCAGCACATTCTGATTTTTTATTTCGTTTGTTTAGTTCTTTTGTATTCACTTCTGGTCTCTCTTAGGACTGTTTTAAAAGACTTCAATTTAGGGAACCCCAGTTATATAATATAAACTTTGTAATCTGAGAGAAGAAAAATGTATAGTAAATCTAAGTCTTGATTTTTAACTTTCTATTGTAAAAAATAATAATAATAATATACAGAGTTTAACAGAAGGTTATGTTTTGGTTTTGTTTTCTCCAGAGGCTGCCATACGGCCTTTGAGTGCAGGGATGCCCCGTCCACACTGCCTGCCTACGCTCTGACCATTGTGGCTTTGGCCAGGAATGCAAGGGCCCCCGGATGGGGCACCCCTCACCCCCCACCTCCAGGAGAGGGGCGTGGCCCCCGCTGCCCCACGCGGTCTTCCAGCCGCCAGCAGTGGCGGCACGGGGCTCCCTGCTCACGCATTTTCCAGTTAGCACAGAAGTGACCGCGATAGTCTCTCTCCCCGTGAGACTTTACTGAGGGGGGTGCTGGGGGTGGAGCCGCGGGTGGCCCGGCCTCTTGTCTGGTGGCGAGTTCTTTCTGCCAGCACTTCTGGATGGATCAGGAGACTAGTCGTTGGTATCCTAACGGGCGGTGGTTTCTAAAAATCCTAAAGTCGACTTGGATGCCACTAGCGCTTATGGCTAGAGGATACCTCTGATGGGTATAGACTCTGATGAGGCGATGGATGGTGGATTGCCATTTTTCTGACCGCTGGTGATTCTGACCTTTGGGTGAGCTTTGAGCCAGTCTGTTCAAGTTTTTTCATTAAGTTTTGTTTGTAATAAAAATATAAATGAATTTTAGACTTGCCATTTTTTAAAGCTGCCCTGTTTTTCAAAGGTGTTTTCTAAGCAGATCTTTAACGGAGTAAACAACCTGTGGCTTGAAGGAATTACGACAGGATGGAAGGTCCTGAAGCAGGATCTCATGGGCAGAAGGCAGCAGGCACGCATCTGAGTAACAAACAGACCCCAGCTGGGGGGCCTGGAGGTGCTGGGGGCTCCCGTGGGGCGCCCCTCCAGCCGCGAGCGAGCGGGGAGGGTCACCTGCGCCAGCCACTCAGCGGGGGCCATCGGGCCCTAGAGCTGAGCACAGCGGGAGCATTTCCTTACCTGCTGGTTCCGTGTTGGGAGAGATGTGGAGTCTCAAGCCACCTGTGCTCCTTTCCTCTGAAAGATCTGCTGGCTTTGACGCTGCCGGAGGGCTTAGTCCGTGCTGAGCGGTTGTAGTTCATTGGCTTTTTTAAGGCTTTCTGTCCAGACTTCAAAACTGATTTCAGAGTTTTGGGGGGACCCTCTCCACCCCCTCACCGCCCCCCCGCCCGAGGTCAGCCTGTGGGTGTTCGCCATTTCCATTTCTCTGCGTTGGGCAAGCGGAGTTCCAGTGCCGAGAACTGGAGGGCAGCCTGTCGAGGCTTAGGGCCTGTGTCCGGTGGGTAGGCCTCGTGCAGGGCACGGAAATGGCTGTGAAACAGTCCTCGTGATCCCTGGGGGTCGAGGGGGCAGCTTGGGCTGTTAACTGAACTCCAGAGATGCTTGCTCACTCATCTTGCTTACAAACTGTTAAGATACGTTTTTCTTCTGTGTTTGTTTTTTGGTTTTTGTTCTTTTGCAACATTCACATCTTTTACAGTTTGGGGCGGGGGGAACACCGCCCACGATAAAAGATCTGTTACACCTGGTGTAGCGCTGTTCCCTAATACTGGCATAACACTTCCAGGAGGTTTTTCTTTTATATTTAAAATGTTACTTTTCTGTATGATGTGCATGCAAGTTTACCGTAACTTTTCTTAAACTTTTTAGTGCCGTTTCTAGTATATTCCTGTAAATGTCAGTTACTGAAAATGAGTCCAGTGTAAGTAGTTTTAGCTTGTTTATTGCAATGCTGGCCTCAACACAACAGAATAAAAGTGGTAGAAAGTACTCTTTGATGTTTCTGGTAATCATGGACCCTTCTCCTGGGGCATTTGTTTTGTTTTCATAATAAAAGAAAAAAAAAAAAGAGGTGCCTCATCCTGTGCTTTCTGGGCTCCCAGCTCTCCCCTTGCTGGCGTGTGACGACGGGGGGGAGTCCCTCGTTTTGACATCCCGTAGCTCCCGGCAGGAATACCCAAAGCATCCCAGAGGGTCTTAAAGAGCTCAGTGGCTCTGGTCAAAGCCTGGGTGGGGTGGCTCCGGGATTTAGGGAGCGTCTTTTGTCACCTTTTCAGGTCAGCAGCTCTGTGGATGGGCCGCCCCCCTCCATGACCCACAGGTTCGGTCGCCTCGGTTCCCGCCTGCTCGGTCATCCATCCTCTGTCCCCGCTGTGCCCTCAGTCTGCACTGAGGTGCTTTCCGGGACCAGAGGCATCAAACGCTCGTCCGCTGGCCCAACAGACGTTTCCAGGAAACCACGTCGAGACGTCGTGCACGCTGAGGTTTCGTCCACAGTGGAGGCGGCAGCAAGGAATGAAGGAGGTATCGAGACAAATGCCAAGTCCTGACGCCGTTTTCCAAACAGTCACAGCTGTTGCAGCCGAGCCTTGCAGTGACGTCCCGGGAGAAGGCTCTGCCCGAGTCCAGGCCCGAGGCCCCCCTCCCCTGTATTCCCTTGCCCCCCGTCACCCAGACTGAGCTCCCCGAGGACGGGGACTGAGCACGTCCGCCGCGGCATCCCCAGCCCCAGCCGGGAGGGCCAGCCGCCCAGGCGTCCCCAGGGCAGACGTGGCCTCCCCGTTCGCTAAGCAGCTTAGCGCCAGCTGTGTGCGAGCGGCCCAGGGCACGTCGGTCACCTGCACACCCGACCGGTGCAGACGGCGGCCGTGGCCCGTGCTTGCTTTCCCGGCCACCGCCTCTGTGCTTGCGGCTGAGCCAACCACGGCCCGTTTCTAGGTTAGTCTGAGGGGCAGCGAGCGTGCAGCACAGAGGCATTCCAGCTAAGCCAGAAGTTTGCCACCTTCCCAAACTGAACTGAAGTCGAAGGAGCGCAGAGATGCCGACAAGACCTGGCTACTGGGGAATTCCAGTGTCAGGGCGCCTGGACGGGCGGGCCTCTACTGCAGAGTCCTTCCTGACTGTGTCGACGAGACAGGCTTCCCTCTTCGCCTCGGGGAGGTGCTTAAGGAAATCTGCCTTCCAGCCTCCCCACCTGAGGCAGTAAGCCAGCCGAGGCTCCCTGTGCAAGGACCAGGCCTCTGGCTGGACACGTGACGTCGGGGGAGAGCAGTCCGACCCAGCAGCTCCCTTCTGGTTGCTGTCTGCTAAGCAGCTTGCACGCCTGCACGAGGAGGCACGCAAGGGGAAGCCCAGGACGCGCCGTGTGCATGGACAGTCAGAAGGTCTCTGTCCACCTGTGGGCTCACAGGAGCGCTGCCAGCAGGCCGTTGGAAGCGTGACGTAATCGCCCCGTCTGTACAGCTGAGCAAAACGTCACAGAACCAGGTGTTGCGTGGTGCGGGACGCCACCTCCGGAACCTCGGCACACGCGCGCGCCGAGCTGCTGAGAGCCGCTGCCTCTCGGGAGGGCGCTTCGTGCGTTTCTGCACTGGGGCTTTTAGCAATCGTTAGATGTTACTGTTGTAAAAAAAAAAAAACAACCTGAAAGCCAAGATAGGATATTAGGAGCAAACAGATCAAAAGGAGTGAGAAAGGAAGGCGGCTCCTAAAGGAGATTTATTTAGAAAAGAAAACTCAGCTTCGACAAAAGACGCGTCCACGTTTGCCTCGCCACACAGACCTTAACTACAGCAGACAGCAGATCCTTTAAAAATGACTCATAAGCTGCCCACACAGGTGGGCCGAGGCTGCTTGTGTGTGGTCACGGCCCACGCACATCAGACACTGCAGGTGGCCGGGAGGTGCAGCCTCGGAGTCGAGGCTGAACTACTGTCCGCTGAGGACCTGCCTATTTCAGCCCTGTGATTAAATTTGAAATCACTGTTAGCAACTTTTGTGTAACTTAATAATTTGGGGGTTTCCTTAATGTTTTGGGGATGCCTTTGCCCCACAAGCCTCCAGCATCAGGAAGCTAGTGTAGGAGCCGTCACAGTGCATCACACGCAGTGATCATTTTGGTTACTAGACTCAAAACTCAAGTGCCACAAAGTCCCTGCTGAAATGCTGCTGCCGATGACCATTTAGGGTGAATCCATCTTGGTCCCGCACATCGTGGTCCCGCACATGGATCTGCGACCCGACATGATGCCAATTCCTTCACCTTTTTCTAGATCTGACCCACTCTTTACCAGGCAGAAGGGAAACCTAAAGGACAGCCTGTAAGAATGTGAAGAGGTGGTCTGTAACCGGGGTGTCCCTCCCGCTTGACTTATTCGGAAGCATGACCAAAACAGCATCTGGCCGGGCCCCGGACCTGGCCGGTGCCTACAGCGCCTGCAAGACCAGAATGGAGTCCAGGAGCCCAGACCACCCATCAGCCCGACTGCGAATGGGCCGGGGCGCCATCTCTGGGATTTTGGGGTTCTTCTACCACAGCTCAACCTTCACGTTCACTGTTCAGGATCTCCCAGTAAGGACTAGGGATCAGCAAGGCGGCTGGGTGCCTGGGCCCAGGCTTTCACACCAGAATTACATAACAGAGCAAAACTTGGATTGCCCCGTGTCCCGGGAGACGTCCAGCTTGTTTTTGTCCCGGACGAGGATGGCCTCATTTCCGTACTGTGAGTACCACGTGCTTCGGCTCCTGCTTAGGTACGTCCCGGGCGGCACAGATGCCAACTTCTGCTGCTGCTGTTGCCAGATGAGCAGGGAGGTGTCCCGGTACCGGAGCCGGGCGTAGCCTTCGGACAGGGCTTTCTCTGCCAGCGGGACGCGGCCGCTCATCACTGGCCAGAACCTCCCCTCTCCTGGGCTCCTGAGCAGGAGGCCTCTGAGCCCGTGCTTTGCACTAAATGCACTAACGAACCGGTATTTCAGCTGCTGGGTTTTGAGGATCCCTTCCTTAACCTACCGGTACAAATGAGACATTCAGGCCATTCACAGGCCACACCCTCGTGAGGGTTCTCTGCGAGGAAACTTGAGAGGCGCCTCCGAGCATTCTGAAAAGACACTTAAGAACCATACGTGAGTCGGCAAGCAGGTCAGCAGTGCCCTGGCCGCAGCGTTTCCTGGTGACGGCCGTGTGCACTGTATTAGGTGTGCAGTTGACAAGGGACTAGGCGCCCACCGCAGGGGGAACTTGGGTCTGCAGCGATTCTGACACCACGACGTGGACCACTGAATTTGCAAAGGTATATACCTGGTGTCCCGAAAGAAAGGACATTGTACAACTAGACAGAACCTGACAGCAGCTCCTGTAACTGCCCGCTCACGATCTGCGCTCGGGTCGGCTTTCAGCACAGCAGAGGCGTTCCGATCCCTGCCAGGGATTTGGAACCAGCATTTGTTCAGTGCTCTGTATCTGGCTAGTCTCCAGCTCCTCTCCAAGGTGACGCTACAAAGAAATGAACATGCTGTCAGGTGTTGGGGAGAAAAGGGCCCCAGCAGAAATGGCAGGTTATATGGCACAGAATCCTCCTTAACTCTTGGCATCAGAGCGTTAAACCAAGCTACCGATCGACACATTCCAGGATTTCAGTTGCTCTCTGGTGACGCGGTGAGCCTGGGTTTAAGAGGTAGACCTGTGCCTCACCCTAGTTCTTTTGTTAACTAAGGGGACGATCCTGGGGAAGCCACTTGTTGGAGCGTTAGTGTCTAGATCTGCGAAATAAGTCCTAAGAGCTTGACGGGGCACAGAAGTGACCTGCCCATGCTGGGGACGCTGGTACTCACCCAGCCAGCAGCGCCTTCTTTCTGCGCCAAGCATCAGGGAGGCCCCTGGACCAGAAAGAAAAATGACGTCAGGTGAAAACCAAACGGGAGCATCCACAACACCCCCGCCCCACGCCGCCCCTGCCCATGCTTTCCCAGCCATGCAAGTTCGCTTTTCCTCCTGTGTGGCCCGCGCCCCCATCGGCCTGCCCAGTCATCACTGCCGGCTGCCGCTGAGCCCCCAACGCCCGGCCCGGCCCGCACCCAGGGCGCGTCCCCATTGCCTCCCCGGCATCCCGGGTCCCGCCTGGCCCGGCCCGCGCCCAGCGTCCCCCTACCGCCCCCCCCGTCACCTGACCCGCGCCCCCCGTCGTCGCCGCCCCGGCCGCCCGCGCCGTGGGGCCTCGGCGGCGAGCGGGTCGCGGGGCCGGGCGCCTCGGGCGGGGCGGCGCCAGTTGGCTGCGTGTCCGCGTCGCTATGGCAGCGCCGCAGGCATGCCGAGCCGAGCGCCGAGGCCGGCAGGCGGGCGCCACGAGCCGGAGCCATCGATGGCTCCGCGGGGCGGGGGCGGGGGCGGGGGGCGGGGTCTCCCGCCGGGGGTGGGGCAGCTGCGGGAGCCATGTGACCATTATTGTGGGTCGTAGCATGGCGTAGGTCGTAGCTTTGTGTTGCTGTTTGCGTCTGCTCTTGCCACTTCTGCCACTGCTGTTGCTACTGCTATTAGCATTCTTACCCCTAATAATCTATAGCGTTGTTTTTAATAATTTCATGTTGTCCCGGGCGTACGTACTCTCTCAAAACCACGTGTCCCACTAACCCATGTCACCCAGCCGGGCCAGGTCCCCATTCTGCCGTGAAAATTAGATCTGTTTCCTTCCGCACCCACCTCCAAATCCTTTTGCAATAATACTGTCGTTTGGTATCTGTCCCTTTCCTTACTGAACTTTCATTTTTACGGTTTCCCCTAACGCTAATTCAGGAAGTCGACATAAGAGACATTCAAGCACACTGAACCCACCACTGTAGAATGCACATTCTCTACAAGCACACAGAAAATCTCCAAAATTGACCACATGCCAGTCCATGAATCAGTTTCGATACATTTCAAAGCACTTAAATCCTAGGCGAAAAGGGTCACAGGAAACATAGTCTATAAAACAACAATAAAAAGATACTAGAAGAAAATCCCTATATATGATTACTTTAAAATATATTCTCGAGCCCACCCAGGGATACCAAAAAAAAAAAAATTCTAAATTCCTCATGGGTCAAAGTGAAATTCACAGTACAAATTTTAAACTATTTTAATTGAATGATGATAAAAATACAATATATCAAAACTTGTGAGATGCAGTTCAGAATCGTGCCTGGAGGGAAGTTTATTGTCTTAAAGAAAATATACACGTGTATGGTGTGTTTGTGGGCTATATGGAAACTCTCAGTATTGTCTTTGCAATTTTTCTGTAAATCTAAAACTGTCCTAAATTAAAATGTAAAAGCTTATTTTTAAAATGAGTGAAAAGGAAAGTCACAGAGGTGAGAAGAAACTGGCAATATGTATAGTTGATGAGGGACTTAGTCAGGGTCCAGCTGGAAGACAGAAATCACACCAACGATTTGACCAGAGAGAGATTAATAGAAGGGATTGTTCATTAGGTACAAAGTTGTTAACTAGGTAACTTCCAGGTTAAAATAAAGACCTTTAAAGTATCTCAAAGGTGGTAACCACAGGAAGCAAAAGGACCAAAGAGAAGAGGGTGGAATTGTGAACATTTAGAAACTCAGAGGAGGGACACCAAAGAGCTGAAACTCAGACTTTTGACGAGGGGGTGCTGGCAGCTGGAGCTGGTGTCTCTGCACCAAGAATAGGGTCCCAGGAGGGCAGGGACCCAGACCCCGAGGACGGGGGGGTCCCAAATAGAGGAAATACAAAGTCCCACCAATCGAGGGCTCCTTTTCTGGGTTAGGTTAATTACTTTTCCTCTCAGTCTCCTTCTGTCTGAATATTCTTTTACCTGAAACTAAATTGCAAAGTTAACTTCCAACAAAACTGTACTGAAAGTCATAAGGGAAGTGAGGAAATAAAAGAAGAGCTAGATACAAATACATACGTACTTAACAGGCAGGGGGAAATATGGAGTTGTTACCGTCCTTGTTTCTGTAACAGTCAGATGGGTTTTCCTTTGCCCTCAGCAAGATCTCAGCTGGTCGAGGTTTCTTTAGCTAGTGGGGTGACTTATACCTTCATTCCTGAAGGGCACAAACCCTCAATTATCCTGCTATCTATCTATCTATCTGTCTATCTATCTATCCAATCCATCTATCCATCCATCCATCTATCTAACCATCTATCTATCTATCAGTCAATCCATCCATCCATCTATCTATCTAACCATACATCCATCTGTCTGTCTGTCCGCCCTTCCATCCATCCATCCGTCCATCCATCCATCGTCTTTGGTGGCTGCAGCTTTCCATGAACTTTGCTCTTGGTGGTAGAAATACTAAAATGTACCAGGAAGAATCCCCTGGGTTCTAAACATAGTTCTTCCTGCCCTCAACCTCAACGTGAAGCAACAACTCACTTTCTCCATCACCCCAGTTGGTAAGGTAACCCACTTCTCAGTGTTTTGATTCAGTGGTATCAGGAGCCCCTGATTTCCAAGTGGCAGTCTCATCTTCCAAACCAAAGAAGCCATTGATGTGCTCCCTGGTGAGCCCATTCCTCTCTCTAGAACCAAGCCTTGCAAGTCATCAGAAGCTCAAAGACGTGGGGCAGAATTAACACTGACATGAGGCATCATTGGAAGGCCTCTCCCACCTCCACCCTCTGGTTCCCACGCGCCTGTGGTCTGGCTTTGGGGAAGACAGGACCGTATATTTTTCTATGGCTCAAAAGCATTCACGGTGAAGTTCCCAATGGGTGCTTCACCCGCGTCCTCAGGAGGCCACGCTGCTCTCTGCTAGGGGGGCGCTCTGGGTGATGGGCACATATATAGCCAGTGGCTTCCATGAGCAAGGGCCTATGGTTTCCCTCCTTTTTCTCAGCAACGAGGTCCCTGCGCAGAATACTGCTGTGGGAATGGTGTGATGGTCAGCGAGTCCCTCCCTCAGTCTGTGGATGGGGGTGCTGGCAGGAGAAGCAAGTCCAGAATCTGTGTCTATTCCAGCAAGACTGCATCTCTGTCCCCTCCATGATGGATGCGTCCATGTAATAAATGTGCCACCACTTGGCTGGCTGGATCCCCGGGTAACGATGCCATACTGGGGGCTCAGCGTTGGCTGGCAGCGGTGGTGGGCAGGGCGGCTTCGGTGGTGGAGCTTGCATTGTCATCCACGTAGCGCCTCCATCACTCCCGCCAAGATCACTTTGCACACGGGCGCATCAAATAAGCAATGCACCGGCTCGATGAAGGGGCTGAAGACCTCCACAGAGTGGTCCTTGTTTTCAGCTGATTTTGAGAGTCTCCTCTGCCTTGGACGGGCCTCGGAGACATCTGTCCACCTGGGATACAGATATTGTCACAGTCTGCGTCCTTTCTAAGAAGTCCATCCGGTGCCTCTTCCCCAGAGCTCGCTGTCACCCAGCTCCCAATCCTTTTCTTTCCAAGCCCTTAACCATCCAGCCAAACCAGTAGCAACTGCTTGAGAATCACGGTAGATCTATGCGATGGAAGGCGATCCAGTAATTTAAAAGAAAATGAAGTACTGATACATGTTTCAATATGGATGAATCTTGCAAACATTATGCAAGGCGAAAGGAGCCGGTTAACAAAGACCATTGTACGACTCCACTGATAGAAAATGTCTGGGACAGGGAAACCTGTAGAGACAGAAAGTAGCTTAGTGGTTGCCTACGGCTGGATTAGAGATTGGGAGAGGATGGAGGGTAACAGCCGCTACGTATGGGGTTGCTTTTTTTTTTGCCATTCCCATTTTTATTTTTGGCTGTGTTGGGTCTGCATTGCGGTGCGTGGGCTTCTCAATGAGGTGGCTTCTCTCTTTGCAGAGCACGGACTCTAGGCGCTCAGGCTTCAGTAGTTGTGGCGCATGAGCTCTAGAGTGCAGGCTCAGTAGTTGTGGCACAAGGGCTTCGTTGCTCTGCAGAATGTGGGATCTTCCCGGACCAGGGATCGAACCCATGTCCCCTGCATTGGCAGGCAGATTCTTAAGCACTGTGCCACCAGGGAAGTCCCTGGGGTTGCTTTTAAAGAGGCTAAAATGTTCCAAAATTAGATTGGGTGATGGTCGCATGATCATCTGACCATACTCAAAAACTCTGAATTGTACACCTTCAGAGGGGGAATTGCATAGTACGTGAACTCTATCACAATAAGCCGCTTTTAAAAGAAGAATCATAACTTTCTCAAGACGTCAGCAAAAATGGTGGAATAGGAAATCCAGATTCCGCCCCTTCACAAAGGAAAGGAAAAAATAGGCAAAAATTGTCACAATAAACTTTTCTGCAACTTGGGAAACAAGAAGTCTTGACTCCCAAGCTCCTAGGCAGGAGCCACACTCGACAACAAACACAAGCCTCAAACAGGAGATGTTCAGCGACAGACACAGCTACAGTCATGGGAGAAAAGGAATAACTCAGAGGCTGGAGCCAAGACCTGCGAGGAATCATCCCTTGAGCCTCAAGGAAGTGGTAAAATGCCCAGGGGCTTCCCTGGTGGCGCAGTGGTTAAGAGTCCGCCTGCCAATGCAGGGGACACGGGTTCGAGCCCTGGGCCGGGAAGATCCCACATGCCGTGGAGCAACTAAGCCCGTGCGCCACAACTACTGAGCCTGTGCTCTAGAGCCCTCGAGCCACAACTACTGAGCCCACGCGCCACAACTACTGAAGCCCACGCGCCACAACTACTGAAGCCCACGCGCCTAGAGCCCGTGCTCCGCAACAAGAGAAGCCACTGCAATGAGAAGCCCGCACGGTGCAAAGAAGAGTAGCCCCTGCTCACCGCAACTAGAGAAAAGCCCACGCGCAGCAACGAAGACCCAATACACCCACAAATAAACAAACAAACAAACAAATAAATAAAAAATTTTTAAATGCCCAGAAATTTAGAAAGGTTATGGACTTGGGGCTGTGGTTTGTGTCCCCACCCCCAGCGCCGGCTTCCCTCTTTCTGAGGGAGCATCTAGGGTGGTTACTTATGCCCACGCTGCCTTTGCACATTGGGTGTGTAGGAAGGGACGGATCCCTGGCCTTTTAGTCCGTAAGGCTTTAGGTGGACTCTGCACGATGAGCTGTACCTGCGGAGATGCACCTGTGCAGCCTCATCTGCACCTGGATCTGATTTAGATGCCAAGAGCATGAGGCCATCAT